CAATCTGTGGGGAGGAGATGAAAGATAAGGGAGATTTGGAGCAGACAGGTTCTTTACAATCCTGACGTTAAACAACTGACAGGTGGTGGCATTTGCCATAATGCATTGTTGCTAAAGGCATTAACTCCTGGCAGAGTAAATTCACCCAGGATTATACTTTATGCAAAAGCATCTGACTAAAAGGGTTTTCAAAGCCTTAGGTAAAAATGACTTTGTTTCATCCTTTGACATGTCTTACCACAATTTTCTAGGACCTTAAAGGTAAAGTCTCACTTCCTGATTCAAGGACTCATAATGTGGTGGATGAAATGGCTCCAGGGAAGGATAAAGGAGCGTGGAGCCACTCACATATAAGCACAAATTTCACCCAAGATGGTAGTGAGCAGTTAGAGAAAAGCCATAATACATTAGTGTAAGCCTCCCAAAGTCCTTTTATCATTGGGAATCAGGGGCAGGGGAGGGTTTGCCAGTCAGCAGGGTAACGGGAGTGGGAGCCAGGCCGGTGCCATTGCTCCAAATTTTCCCCCAGGGTCGCAGCACTGTCAACCTGTGTTCCAGAAAGGGGAGGTGTGGTCAACTCCACAGTGGAGTGTCCTTCTTGGCTGTGGTGACGAAAGAATTTTCGTGATAGAATTGAATGCAAAAGACTTGAAATGGAGGCCCAACTCCAGGAGGAAGTGCTGGAGCAGTGCCAAGATGGGGCCTCCACTGTGGCCCCCGGCTCTGGTCAGGCCACCGGTGTGAGCGCCCCTCATGTGCGCGAGGTGGCTGCTCCATCTGGGAGGCAGGCTCCCTGAAACCATCTCCAGTCTGCCCTTGACTTAATATTATGTGATTATAGGAAGTCTCTGAATTCTCTGTACCTCAGTTTCCTCAGAAGATTATTTGATATCTACATTTGTCAACATCTCAGAATACCTCTACAAGGTTTGGGAATCTTGGTTGAAGACTTCATATCCCTTACATAGTCCAGCCATTAAAAAACCTGTCATAGTAACCACACTAGTAGGGGTGAGGATTTAATAATATGGGTAACTGTTGAACCACTGTGTTGTATATTTGAAACCAATATAAGATTGTATATCAACAATACTTCAATAAAAAAAAACAAAAAAACCCAACTGTCTAAGCTGAAGTCTGGCTCTGCTGAGCTTTCAGTAGGACACTGTGTAAGATGCTAAACTTTTCTAAATCCGGGTTTCCTTGTCCACAGCACAGGGATAGTAATTGCCCTACTTGCCTGATGTGGTGCTGTGGGATGAAATGGAAAGTTCTCAGGATCACAAAGTGTGCACTTAAACAACAGAGAACAAGGAGTCCCTCGAAGCAGAGAGCTGTTGGCCTCAGGGATCCTGGCTCGCTGTTGTCCTGCTGCTCAGCACATCAACCTTCACCTGCAGACACTGGACCTGACCTTGCTGTGAGTGTAGGACTGAATTGCTCAAATGGGCTGAATCATGCTATCTGAGCAATCTGCTCAAATGATGGATGGTTCCTCTGGTCAAGATGGGATTCGATTTGGAGTCCCATCATGAGAGACAAGAGCCTCAGTGCCAGCCACCTCCCTATTTATTTGTAGATTTGGCTTTAATAAGCCAAATGGTGCTGAGGCAATTCCATGGGCATCAGATGAATTATTTATACATCCAATTAAATTGTTTTATTGGAGAACTCAAACCTATTTAACTCATGAGTTTTCAGCCTGGTGTATAGGAATTCTATTGAGCATATTCTAATCACTTTCTAAATTTTACTTTGAGGTACAACCTTGAAATTTCATAGGCATTAGGACTATATGGCAAATAGATGTCCATAAACAAAGCTTTATAAAGAAAAAAATTTTTAAACCAAATTTAGGTTTGAGAAAAACATCAGTTTCTACAAAATGTTTACTGGATAATCTGTTTTTGAACTGATTAGACCTTTGCAAGTGAAAGATATTTAAAATCAAATGTAGGGATACAGCATTTTTATTCATTTTCCCTAACTTTAAGGGGAGCTTCCTCTTCCTTCAGGCATGCAATTTCACTCAGAAGTAATTGCTAATCCTGCCTCATTCTATTACTTGTAAATTCAATATAATTAGAGACATATTCAGTTTATTACTAACTTGAATTTTTGCCCCGATTATTTTCAGCCTGTTACCTTTTCAAAACACTTTATTAGAAACTTGTTTTAGTATCACATTCTTTAAAGGAAAACTATAACCCCCAAATACATTTTACAGGAATCGCTCAAAATGCAGGACCCACTGCCAGCAACTAATAAACTCAAATCACAAAGCTTAAATCAGAAGGCAGCCATAAACTGCTGCAGAGCAGTTAGGGCACATTTAACCTGAAAATTGAAATTCGTGTGCTCTAATACATAGTTTCAGGAGAAACTCTCACCAGGTCTTGCAATTTAAAAACCGTGTTCTTATTTCATTGACTGTAATGCAATTTAGCCCCTAAATATCCTTTTTCCTCTGAAGAACTCCAAACACCTCCCTGGTCATTACCTGAAGCATCAGCCTTGTGGGCTGGCATTGATCAGTCCTGTTTTATGGAGTGAGGGGCTTGGAAGCTCAGTGGTTCTCAGGCCAGGCCCTTGGGATGAGGAGTTTTGACCTTGCTGCTTCAAGGAGGTGCGTCAGTCCCCAGGAAAGGGAATTTCAGGGGAGAACGCCCTGGTGAGAGGGTGAGTCTACACTGACCCCTGGAACCAAGAGGTGAGTCATTGGGCTTCAAGGCCCATGTGTCAAATGGCCTGCAATTTTGCAAGCTTGTGCAAAGGAGCCCATGGGTACACATGAAGCACAACACTGCTTACACTCAATTCTAGTCAAAAAACAAGTTGCTTTGTGGATATCAACAAACCAATGCTAAAGTTTATACAGAGAAGCAAAAGACCCAGAACAGACAACACAGTTTTGAAGATGAACAAAGATAGAAGACTGACAGTTCCTGACTTAATACTTACCATAAAGCCACAGTAATCAAGAATTTGTGCTACTGATAAAAGAATACACATATAGCTCAATGGAACAGAGTAGAGAGTCCAGAACTATAGTCAACAATATAACACACAAATACAGTCAACTTATCTTTGACAAAGGAGCAAAGGCAATTCAATAGATAAAAATCAACTTTCCAACCAATGGTTTGAACAACTGGATATCTACATGCAAATAAATGAATGTAAACACGGATTTTAAACCCCTCACAAAGATTAACTCTAAATGTATTGTAGATCTAAACGTGAAAAGCAAAACTATACAACTTCTACAAGGGAAAATCTATGTGACCTTGGGATTGGCAATGAGTTTTTAGATATAATAACAAAAGCACGAACTAGGAAAAAAACTTGATGAATTAAACTTCATTAAAATTAAAAACTTCTGCTCTATAAAAGATACTGTAAAGAGAATGAAAGACAAGCCACAGACTGGGAGAAAATCTTTGCAAAACACATCACTGAAACAGGAGCTGTATCCAAAATATACAAAGAACATGAAAGCTCAACAATAAGAAAAATAACCCCAACTAAAGAAATGGGCAAAAAATCTGAACAGACCTCACCAAAGAAGATACACAGATGGTAAATAATCATATGAAAATATGTTCAATATTTTCAATTATGGGGGGATTATAAGTTAAAACAACAGTGGGATACCACTACACACCTATTTAAATGGCTAAAATCCAAAATACTGAAAATATCAAGTATTGACAAAAATGTGGATCAATAGAAACTCTCACTCACTGCTGGTGGGAATGCAAATGGTATAGCTGCTTTGGAAGACAGTTTGGTAGTTCTTTAAAAACTAAACATACTCTGACACACAATCCAGCAATTGTGCCCCTTTGTATTTACCCAAATGAGTTGAAAACTTGCAGCCATGCAAAACCCTGCACACAGATGTTTACAGCAGTTTTATTCACGAATGCCAAAAATTGGAAGCAACAAAGATGTGCTTCAATAAGTAATGAATAAGCAAACTGTGGTATATCCAGACAATACAATATAACTCAGAAACAAAAAGAAATGAGCTATCAAGCCATGAAAATACATGGAGCAACCTTAAATGCATATTATCAAGCAAAATAAGCCAGTGTGAAAAGGCTGTACATACTGTATGAGTCCAACTGTATGACCTTCTGGATAGGTGAAAACTATGGGGACAGTAAAAAGGTCAGTGGTTGTCAGGGGATGAGGGGCACAGAGAGGAGTGAACAGGTGGAACACAGGAGCTATTTAGGGCAGTGAAACAGTTCTCTATGATATGTAATGGTGGATACACAACCTTATCCCTTTGTCAAAACCCAAGAACTGTACAACACAAAGAGTAAACCCTAAATATTGGCTTAGCAATTACCACAAATGTACTTCACTAATGCAAGAGGTAAATAATAGGGGGCACTGTGTGCAGGGGAAGATGGGGTATGAGAAAACACTGTCCTTCCTGCTCAGTTTTTCTGTAAACCTAGAAATGCTTTAAAAATAAAGTCCATTAATTTTTTTAAAAGCTGATTTGGTAGTTCACATTATTTAAATTGCTCAATTTTTTTGTCTTGTTCTGTAGATACTGGTCAGGTTCTGCTTTCTACGAAAAGCACATAATTGATCTTTCCTCAGGTCCAAGCAATGCACGTATGATATTTTTAAATAGTAGACAATGAATACCATCATCCCCAATTTACAGAAGGGAAAACTGAGTTTATAAGATGAGGCATAAAGCTGTGGCAAGAATTCAGACCTCATGATCACTGAAACTATAATATTTAATTAATTTTGTGGCTCTCACATACACGGAGGGGCAGTCACTTTTAAAAGATGAACAGAGGCATGGTTATATATTAAAAGAAGACTGTGGCTGCCAGCCCTGTTATTTAGGCACCTTGTGCCATCCTGGAGCCATGGGGAGCCTGGCGCACTTACTGTGTTGGTTGCTGCTTCGTTCTCATTACTGGTCCCACCAGTAAATCAGTGACGCAGTGAAGGTGAAGAACCTTATCTTTAGGACCGTGTGCATCTGGGATGAAAACCTCTGGTCCTCTCAGTCTATCATTTTCTTGATGAATCAAAAGACTATTGGGCTTATTTGAATCATAGCAGCATCTGCAATGACATAATTATAATTTCTTTACAGAGAAAAGAAATCTGGGTGTGGAGATGGAAAATGAGGGAGGGAAAACAAATTTACATTGTCTAAGGAGAATGTGATGATTTGAAATCTCACTTGTCAGTCAGGATGAGTTAGGTTATTCTCCAGTAACAAACAAAATTGTCAGTGGTGGGAAATAGCAAAGCTTTATTTCTGACTCCCCTACATGGTATTCTCAAGTGGTAGGAGAGCTCAACTCCATCCTGTCCTCACTCAGGGCTCCAGCATGATGGAGCCTCCACCACCTAGAATGCTGCCAGTCACCAGAGCAGGGAAATGGGGACATATGAACCATGCACCTGCTCTTAAAGACTTCCACTGAGAAGCAGCATGCAGCATTTCTGCCCACATTTCCTTGGCCAAAGCAGGTCACATGGTTTGAAGTCCAACTTCAAAGAGATGGCAAAGTCAAGTCCAACCACGCAATCTGGAAGTGGGGTATCAGGAAGCATCAATAAATGACAGTAATGACTGCCACTCTTCACATGCCTTTATCAAAGTTCCATACAACAGATTGTTTTTGAAGGAGGTAGAAGAGGAAGGACAAAATACAATGAAATTTAATTGACACTGTTTCTTGGGCACTGCTTAAATAGGAGCTAGATCAAAGCTTGCCTTGGTTTAGAAAACTGTGTATTTTATTGATAATGCAAATTAGCCTTAAAATGTAATTTAGGGAAAGGTTTCAAATATGAGTAGTGAGTTCTTTAGAAAAATCATAGGCATCCATTGGCCAAACAGAACCCTGTACTAATAGAGCACAGTTGAAGCCCTAAGGAATTACTTCATTTCATACTAATCCATGGTCACAACTATACTCTTAATTCTCAGTGGCCTCCTGACAGAATAATGGGCTAATCAGAAAAGAGAGTCATTTAAAAGATACAGGTTTAAAAAAAAAATTGCCAGGAAAACAAAACTCAGCACATGACTTATGTAAGAAGTGGCAGGAGCTTTGGCTTCATGGGTAATAGATCAGAATTTGTCACCAGCATTTTCGTTATCATAACACTCACTCTGTTCTTTTAAAATTTGGCTTGCCTAGTCGTTGAAGCAGGACTCCAGCTGATCTCCCCAAAATCAAATATGTAAACAAAGAAACTCATTTATATAGCATTTACTAAGCACCTACTAGGTGCCTGGCACTGTTATAGGAAACAAACACAAAATTCTGCCCTGAACAGAATGAAAATGCACTTAACTTTAAGTTAACTTGAAAGTGATGATTATGATGACTTTTTTTCAGTGTCTTTTAACCCTGACTTTTTGGTTTGAACAACAGATAAAAAATGTTTCTGTCCGGGGAAATCTGGGTCATGGTCCTCCACCAGCCTTGCAGCTGGCTATGTCAGTCAGGATGAGTTAGGTTATTCTCCAGTAACAAACAAAATTGTCAGTGGTGGGAAATAGCAAAGCTTTATTTCTGACTCCCCTACATGGTATTCTCAAGTGGTAGGAGAGCTCAACTCCATCCTGTCCTCACTCAGGGCTCCAGGATGATGGAGCCTCCACCACCTAGAATGCTGCCAGTCACCAGAGCAGGGAAATGGGGACATATGAACCATGCACCTGCTCTTAAAGACTTCCACTGAGAAGCAGCATGCAGCATTTCTGCCCACATTTCCTTGGCCAAAGCAGGTCACATGGTTTGAAGTCCAACTTCAAAGAGATGGCAAAGTCAAGTCCAACCACGCAATCTGGAAGTGGGGTATCAGGAAGCATCAATAAATGACAGTAATGACTGCCACTCTTCACATGCCTTTATCAAAGTTCCATACAACAGATTGTTTTTGAAGGAGGTAGAAGAGGAAGGACAAAATACAATGAAATTTAATTGACACTGTTTCTTGGGCACTGCTTAAATAGGAGCTAGATCAAAGCTTGCCTTGGTTTAGAAAACTGTGTATTTTATTGATAATGCAAATTAGCCTTAAAATGTAATTTAGGGAAAGGTTTCAAATATGAGTAGTGAGTTCTTTAGAAAAATCATAGGCATCCATTGGCCAAACAGAACCCTGTACTAATAGAGCACAGTTGAAGCCCTAAGGAATTACTTCATTTCATACTAATCCATGGTCACAACTATACTCTTAATTCTCAGTGGCCTCCTGACAGAATAATGGGCTAATCAGAAAAGAGAGTCATTTAAAAGATACAGGTTTAAAAAAAAAATTGCCAGGAAAACAAAACTCAGCACATGACTTATGTAAGAAGTGGCAGGAGCTTTGGCTTCATGGGTAATAGATCAGAATTTGTCACCAGCATTTTCGTTATCATAACACTCACTCTGTTCTTTTAAAATTTGGCTTGCCTAGTCGTTGAAGCAGGACTCCAGCTGATCTCCCCAAAATCAAATATGTAAACAAAGAAACTCATTTATATAGCATTTACTAAGCACCTACTAGGTGCCTGGCACTGTTATAGGAAACAAACACAAAATTCTGCCCTGAACAGAATGAAAATGCACTTAACTTTAAGTTAACTTGAAAGTGATGATTATGATGACTTTTTTTCAGTGTCTTTTAACCCTGACTTTTTGGTTTGAACAACAGATAAAAAATGTTTCTGTCCGGGGAAATCTGGGTCATGGTCCTCCACCAGCCTTGCAGCTGGCTTGTATGCATGAGCCAGTCCCCTTCCCAGCAGAGCTGTTAGGACAAAACACTGAGCCAAGTGGAGGAGAACTAGTCTCCTTGGGTCCTCAGCTGACTTAATTCCTATACCACATCACGAAAGGCACTGGACTGTTCTGTGCTTAATTTCTCCATCCGTCAAAGGAAGGTGGTATTTCTTGCCCCTGTGCCCACTCCTCCCAGGGTGTATCCGTGGATTAATTACCAACAATCTAGAAAGTGCTCTAAGTGCCTCATAGAAAGGAATTGTTTCAAATGCAATGCTCTACTTCAGAATTCCCCAGGAGAAGCCAGGGCATGGTTTTGGTATCTAGCTTCCCCAGTAAGGATCTATCTACCCAGCAGTGCAGCTCGGCCTCACCCAGTGCTCATTTACTGAGGGACTGGTTCTCTGGTAAGCTTGTAAACACTAAAATTAAAACAGTTTCAGACCTCAAATATGTCACAGTCTGATGGGAGACATAGACACAGGCTGGGAAGCATGTGAAGCATGGGAAGACAGGACTAGGTGTGACACACCAGGTTTAAAATTACACAGTGATTCAGAGGAGAGAGACCCTGGGTCCATCATTATGTTGAGTTCCTCACACAGTCTAGCAAACAAAGATATTCATTAAATACTTGTTCAATGAACTAATGAATAAATGAGCTAGTCCCAGTGCTGGGTAAATTGAGTCATTTTTCCCATGTACAAAATGAGAATGCAGTGCCATTTTCTCAGGGTTATAGTGAGGGCAAAGTATATAAATATATCCAGCAAATCAGTGATACCTAGCACCCAATAAAAACCTACTTGGGAGGAAGGTCCTTCAAGGTGGTAAAAAGGATGGAGATGGAAAAGGGGAGAGGTGTTTGGGCAGTGAGGGAATGGGATCTCCAGGGGACAACCAAAGAGCAGAGAGCAGGGTAGAGATGTGCAGGACCCGCAAGGCAGAGCCGTCTAGGAGCCGCACGGAGGAAGAGGAGCAAGCAGCAGATCAGGAGGCAGGCAGTGATGACTGTGGGACTGTGGCTTATGTTTTCCACAAAGTTGAATTCAGGCTTGGCACATCAACTGATAGCAAGATTCCAAGGCAGGAATCATGGTTCCCACCCACTGTTCCAAATTCCTAACCAGGTTACTATTTTCCCTGATGGGAACACAAGACCTTGCAGAGCACACTATACTTTGCAAAATGACTTCACCTCTGTGATGCGTTGTGCTCCCCACAACACTATGGGAATTAGAGATCTTAAAGAAGGTGGAACAATTTGCCCAAAGCCACAGATGTGAGGTGAATTTGGAACCCCAGTCTTGGCTGCACAAGCTCCATTTCTACCACCTCACTGTCCACCTGCTGAGCAATTGCAACCCCAAATCATAGCACCCCCGCTGTCCCCATTTGCCTCAGCTTTGGCCATTATGACCACGGTCCCCGTCAGTTACCCACCTCCCCCAAATGCAGAGAAAGTGCTTGAACTTTCCTCCCACCCTAGGTCCTTGGCTGACCACGTCTCCCTCCCACAAGCTCAGCCCCCTGTCAGGGGCATCTGTGGCTGCCTCCACCCCACACCATTCTTCAGCTGCTCCTTCTGCTCCTCCTTCTTCAGCTCAGACTGCCTCCCTGAACTTCTCCCAACAATATGTATGTTCTCCTTGCTTTAAGAAAAATAAAAACAAAAGCCTCTTCTCCCAACTGGATTTTGTGAGTAAAACCCCAGCTCTTTGCAGAACTGGAAGGAGCAGGCACAGCCCTGGGTGCTTAGGACAGTGGACAGGGTGTGGGGCAGGCAGTGGGGAAGCAGGGCCTTGGTGCCTGCCCCACCAGGGCCAGTTACGTGGCTTCAGCCATGGAACCCCCTCTGGCCAGGTCTCGGGTTCTTTGTTTGGAAAGCCTAGTCAGGATGCGATGATTCCCAAGGCTGTGCCCTCTGCCAGGTGCCCAGATTCTTTGAGGCGATAGTAGACAGTAGAGCCTCGTGCAGGTCCTGGGCTTGCATTCAGATGCTGCCGTTTAGTAGCTGTGTAGTCTTTGGCCAGTTACTTAAGCTCTCTGTCTCACCCCTTGGCTGTAAAGTAGAGATAAGGACAGTCACCTCACAGGGTGGCCAGAGGGTTAAGTGGAGAGTGCAAAGTACTTCACCAGTGCCGGGCACCCCAGGACAGTGCCTACTGCTCATCAGCTTAATTACTCTCACAGCTATCACAGTTGCATGTTGACATCCCTACCACCGTTCTTGGCCTGGCACCCTTCTCTGAAATATAAATTTAAGGCTCTTATGAGGATCCATTGTCATCCTCTACCTGTTGTGCTGTATGGGGAAAGCAGATAGCACACAGCCAATGTAAATCACCATCTGGCCTATGGATGCCAGTTGGCAACACTACAGAGACCACATGCTAGAGAAAAGGACACCAGAGCAGGAATAGGGCAGAGAGGAGGGATGAGACACCAGCTGACTCAGTTCATGTCACTAACACATGCAGAGCGACACTGCCTTATACCCAAGACAGGTGTATGTGTTCATGTGTGTGTACACGTGTGCACATGCACAAACCCAGGCAGGGAGAAGTATGTAGTGTTTAAAAATAAAGACAGTGTTTCTGTCTTAAGGAGCTTACACTCTAACTGAAAGACTAAGACAAGTAACTGAAAAGTTTAGTTTGGTTCAGACTATGGCATGTGGAAACATAGGAGGCAAATGAAGTGCAAATAAGGACATCCAGTCCTGTGGAGGGAGAGGTTTCCTGGTGGAAGTATCACCTGAGATGGAGCCATAAGTGACAGGAAGGAGTGCAGCATGCATCCATTCACTCAGTGAAAGTTTATGGAGCACCCATATGTGTCAGGCACGGTGCTAGGTCCTGGGGAGGCAGTGACAAACAAAGGCAGACACAGTTTGTGGTGGCAGGTGGAGAAGAACATCTGGCACAAAAGAAACAGGAAAAGCAAAGGGATAGAGGCATGAAAATGCAAGTCAAAGCATGGCTGTGACGACAGAAAAGAAGAGGCAGCTGGGAAGGCAGTTGGAGGCCTGGGTAGAGTATTCAATGCTAGGCTTTGAACCTGAACTTCATTCAGGGCATGTGTGAACACAGAGGCATGTGTGTAGAAACGGGGATGGGAGGAAGGTGGGAAAGGGAGTTGAGTGCAGGTGCCCTGGGCAGGCTGTGACTGAGCCAGCCTGACTGGCAGAATCAAATGGAGGCAGGATCAGAGAGGGGAGCTGGAGGAACTGGCATGAGTTAGGAGTCAGTTTAGCTACAAATGACAGATGACCTAACATAACAATAGCTTTAGCAAGTTACAACCCAATTTCTCTCTTACATGGAAGAAGTCCACAGGGACATGACCCAAGGCTGGTAGGGCCACATCATCAAAGATCCGTCTCTGTTGGTGCTCTGATGTCCCAGGCGTGAGGCTCACACCTCAAAGTCCAACATGGCTGCATAAATCCTAGCAATCATGTTCTCATTCCAGCTGACAAGAAAAAGAGAAAACAATGAGTGCTTCTTCTCCTTCTAAGGACACTTCTATGTATATTTGATTGACCAGAAGTGAGTCTTGTGGCTATGCCCCATTGTCAAGGAGACAAGGGTATGTGGTCTTATTGTGAGCAAGCACGTATCTGGTAGAAATCTGGGGCTCTGCTCTTAGGGAAGAAAGAATGGATTGCAGGAGGTACCTGCCTGTCTCTGCCATAGGAATAAGTCAGAAAATAAGCAAATTAAAATGTCATATGTGGGATGCTGAATAAATTCCAGTGTAAAAGAAATTAAGGAAGATGGGGCTACTCTGTATGGAGTATTCAGGGAAGGTCTATCCTCAAGAAGGAGCCAGCCATGGAAAGATCTGGGGGAAGATTCTTCCTTGCAGAGAGAAGAGGTAGGACAGAGGCTTCATGGCAGGGGTAAGTCAGGGGTAGGAGAGGAATGACAAGGACATCAGGACTACACAGAGGAGCAGATGCAAGGCTGTGTCCCAGGGCTTCCAGGAGGGGTGGAAACATGAGTGGGGTTTCTTAGCACTTTTTTTTTAGAGGGGTGAGAGTGAGACAGAGGCAGAGAGAGAGACAGAAGGTAGACACTCTGTCTCACTCAGACCCAGTGTGTGCTCATCTGTCCCAGACTTTCCAGTTTCAAGGTATCAGATGGATGAGCAGATGATGATCTAATCCAGACCTTTCATGATAATAATGGTAATACAATTTCTGTTACTCAGAGCTGTTTCCTCTTCCCCGTCAGTCCCACTGGAGCCCCATGATATCTTTACTGCACTTGGGGAACCTGCACTGCCAGGTGTCAATAACACCGCAGCCTGTACATGATCTGATTACAGCCTCTCTTTGGCCTCATTGCCCTGTCCTTAGGCTGTCCTAGGCTAGAACTGGGACCTAAACTATTGTTCTGGGCCCAAGACAGCTTGGCGAAAAGCTGGAGGCCATTAAGGATTTAATACACAGTCATTCACCTTGGGCTCAGCTGTGCTCACTTCCAGCGAAGCCAAACTACGTCAGTGCGGCTGCTACATCATATAATTCTCCCAGCACCCTAGGAACTGGGAGAATAGTTATAATTCCCATTGTACAGGTAGAAAAAGAATGGAAACACAGGAAAAGTAATTGATTGACCAAAGGTGAGGAGCAGAACATTCTGCTCTCAGCTACACAGGTGCAGCGTCACAGGACACCCCGCCTGCTGTAGGAGGCACCTTATCCGCCCACCCACACAGCCCCCTGAGTGGGGACGCTCCTACCTGAGCTGACAGTCACTGAAGCAAAACAGCCTCGGGAGCCTTGCTCTGTTTCCTGCTATGGTGACCCCCCAACACACACACACACACACACACACACACACACACACACACGCACACACACACACACGCACGCACGCACACACCCCCGTTCTCCCCCAACACACACACACACCAGTTTGCCCAGGACTGGGAGGGTTTCCCAGGCAGGAGAGTCCCAGGCAAACCAGTTCAGCTGCTCGCCCTGGATGGAACGGCTGAGGCCATCTCACATGGCCTTAAGTAGGGGTGAGCTGCCAAGGCAGGCCTCAAACGAAGATAAGGCTTTTCTCAAATGCTTTATAATTTGCTTTGAAAACTGGACAGCTCAAGGAGAGAGATAAGGAGGCACCCACCACATCCAGAAAGATTTTTTTCCAAAAAGATGGGTTCAGAGAACCTGGTGTTGGACTAAGCTCTTCTTTCCCTGGGCTGAATCTTTACTGCTCATGGCTGCCTATGCTAGCTGCCATCTCTCTTCCTTATATTTTAAACCAAGAAGATGGTTAGAGAAAGGCATGGAAATGACGCTGCTGGGTTCACACACAAAACACAGGGCTAAGCTCATGACTGGAGTCAGTGAAGCTCTCTTCTGAAGTCCTTCCAATCAGAGTTCACAAAAGGCATCATAACAGGAGGTTGCAGGAAGCTGCTCATCCACAGACATAAAGATCCTGCAGTCTTGGCCAGCACACAGATCTTTGTGAACAATAAGTTCTGTGGCTCCCAGTTGTCCTCTGAAATGGTGAAAGACCCTCTGAGCAACATCTTTCATTCTGATCAGATGTAGAAAAGAGGCAGAGACGAACCACCCAAGCAGCGCAGACCCCCACCCCCTTGGTCTGCTCCATGTCAGTGTCTTCTGGAGAGGCCTCTAGGAAGCAGGGTGCTCTCAATTTCTACCACTGCAAAAGTTGTTAGTGGACAGACCTCCTCCTTTGCTTTCCCTTCTCATCTCCACGGGTACTTCACTGAAGCCAGCCTTCCAGATAGATGAGCCAACTTCATCTTTCCTTTGCTCATCACAGGCTCTTCTCTTCGGAATCCAAGGCAGAGCCATGAGGTGGAAAGAGTTGAACAGCTAGACCCGGAGATTTCTGATTTATGTAGGAGAACAGCAACATGCAAAGCGAATTCCCACCAAGTGCTCTATTTTGAGGCCATGTTGTGATACAGTGCCTACCCTAATCATTGCCAGGTCAAAGGCAGGGGGAAGGGGAAGGCTGAAGGGTCCTATTAAAATCTTGGCTGGTGGGGAGCAAAAAACAATGCCTGTTACCTCGCTGCATAGGTGAAATTTTAGCCAAAGAATTAAAGGATATGGATGTAAAGTAGAAACTCATGATTTCTTTTAATTTTCTTTCCCAAGGTTACTTGGGGCTGCATACTTCTCACTTATTGCTAACAAAAGGGATTGTGCTTGAATTCCTTCCAGTGTCTGGGGTTTTTTTCAACCTCAGAAGCGAACATTCTGCTCTCAGCTACACAAGTGCACGGCACAGCACCATGGTATCTCATAAAACCAGCTCCAGCCAAGGCGTTTGCAGACACAATGGCACAATTTACGAGGCACACCTCGGCTTGTCCCTGCAGGGGGCAGGGCTGGCTCAGGGGGACAGATTAAGGGGCTCCTTGCTTCGATGTTACTAGGTCAAATTAAATGCTAGCCAGGTGTCCCTACAACACTCCCCACTAATAAACCTGGGTCTCATGTGAAAAATGATCCCAAGACCTTGAATCAACTTTCATCACAGATAGCAATCTCATCAAGGGTGTGAATCTGCCAAAATATCAGGACAGTCTGAGCAAGGAGTCTGCTTCAGTCTAGCTCTAATGACAGGCTCCTTTCTAAGTGAGGCAGCAAATGCAGCAGGCTGAATGTTTTCTTCTCCTGTGACTCAGTTTAGAGTTTTATCACAAAGGCCAGAGCCCCAAAGGCATAACCAAGGAGGATAACGTGGCTTTGGTAATATGGAATCTAAGTTTCAAGTTCCTTTCTTTCCAGCAGAGTGGCCTAGGCAAGTCACTTAACATCTCTCTCCTCTTCTGTGTTATTTCCCACCTCTTTACACCGGTATGAAGGTTGACTAAGGTAATGTATATATAATCCTTAGCCTGCGGGAAACCCTCCATTGTTATGGCCACTAATAGTCTTAGTGTGAAAAGGAGAGCATTGTGTATCAATTGGGCTTCAAGCAGTTCTTACAGAAATCTCAAGAAGTCTAGATAAGAGTAAGCTGAAGTCAAAAGATCATTTCCAGGACCTCTCTGGCTCTGGGGAGTGTGGGTAAAATTGAAATATTTCCAGAATCTCTCCCCTGGCTCTAGTGCATCTCCATATCAATAGGTTTTCCCAAGGGGTGGAGAGAAGTAGTCCATCTCCATATCAATAGGTGATTACAAGGGGAAGCAAGGTCATACCTGGATGGGAGAGGTTGAATGGAGTCCCTTTTTGCAGAGACACAGGTCATGAGAGACAAGGGCAAGCAGAAGTGGATGACTGCTTGTAAGCAATAAACAAGTTTCTCCTACTTTATTTCTCCCATTCACTGATTTTGGCTTCAAAGGTAATTTGCTCTGGGCTGGGAACTTATTTTCCCCCCAAGAGTTACAGGGAGGATACCCCTTTGTGATTCCAGCTCCTTTGGCAACCCCCTCCGTTCAGGCCTTGCGGCTCCTGCTAAGACTTCAGCTGGCATCAGTGACTCCAAGAGCTGTCTTGGTCCACAGAGCCTCATGAGCTTGGGGTCGGTTTCCAGGCTGACTCTCCTTTCAGTGCCATTGCTAGCGGAAAAGCACAATCAGTGGTGGCCTGGCACAGAATGCTATCTGTGCACACGACGCAGAGACCAGCGATTGCCTTCTGAGGACAGCAGACAGCCAAGTCCTAGAAACTTTCCCTAGGAAAGCACTGGACATGTTAATAACTTGGAAGAAGTAAAACCTAGGAAGAGCGTGCACACGATGAATGGTTTATTACATCAAGGAAGGAATCAGCAGAAAATTTAATTAGAAGGTAAAAGAGAATGAAAAGAAAGAAATGTGGCAGCTCCCTCAGCCCAGTCACTTTCTCTCACATCCAAGAAGCTGCAGGATGTGATTTAACATGACACATTAAGGCGTCACCTGGATTCGTAAGGCACCGTGCAACTCAGTGGCTGTGTGTGCCGTGTGATGTGACTGTACCCTCAGCAAACACACATCTTTTTATCAGACCCCAGACCAGAATCGACACCGCACGCTAAGGATTGGGGGTACCCCCACTCTTTCTTGTAATGCAGTCCAACACCCCTGGGTGTACCCGCCAAGGGGCAGGAAGGCTGTGTGTTAGCTGAGCCTGCTCCTATTTTCACCTTCTACAAAAAGTCATGTTGCAAATAAAATTCCTTGGAAGCATTGTTTTGCAAATCGGCCTTTCTTTGGCTTTCCTTCTTTGTCTAAGTTGGCAAAATGAGCAGCAGTCAAGGTGTGCCCCTATAACCTGCTGGCAATGGAGGGACTTTGTTGTTTACTTAGCCTAATTGGTTGCCTACATTGACTACACTTTCTGGAAACTTCTCGACTCTGAACTTCACAGAGCAGGGTTAGATGACTTCAAGGAGAACATTTTTGTGCCCTTTAAATCGTGGAGTTAAATAAGACAAACATTCACTGGAAACTTGCTATTTATAAAGCACTGTGCTGAGCTCAATGGGAAGCAACAGGAAATAAGCTCCGGGAACTCACCGTGTAGAGGGGAGGCACACTGGGACATGGACCCCAAAAGGTGCAAACACAGGTTTTAGGACAGGGGAGGAAGACACTGGACTTAACAGTTTTCCAGACTGTCTTAACTTGTAGAACTGTCTTGCTGACCACAGAAATCTAACATCTTGCGTTTACTCCCTTGCCTGGCCATCGACAACACTCAGGCAACATTGGTCGAATGCATGTTGCCTGGAGAAAAGAGTGAGTAGCTGGGCATGGAGGGTAAGAACTCTCCAGAAAAGAAAAACTGCTTCAGCTAAAACTTGTAAGATTTGTCAGGGAATAGAAAATGCCAAGTATACTGTAAGCTGGGGGCAGTGCATGGGGGTGGTAATTAATAGAGATAAATCCAGAAAGGTTCTGGAGGTTGGGGCACACCTTAAAACCCACTTCCTAAATATGTTCCAGTAGGACTGGTAAAGGTGTTATCCTCCAGAATGCAATTTAGAAGGAAGTTAGCTGAACCTTCCCCTGACTTGTTTTTTCTTTCTCTTGTGGCGTTGAGCACAATGTTTCATGTGCCATGAGTGGACCTGAAGCATAGAGAAGCAGAAATACAGTCCTGAAGCCAGTCAAGCCACTGATCTCTGGCCACCCAAGTGGTAGTTGTTGGGGTCGATTTGCGGAAGAAAGGAAATGTTCTCATCCATATGTTTCACATCCACAGATTCAAAGCATACAGGCTTTGAAGCCAAATGGATGTGATATCAAATCCACATTCTGCAACTTTCTACACCATGACCTTAGCAAGATACTTTTCTTTGATAAACCTCAATTTCCCATTTTTAGCTCAGAAAATAACTCCAGTCTCATTTGGCTGTTCTGGGGATGAAATGAAATCATGTGACTGTGCCTGGCCCCTAAAAGAAGGTGTTCAGTACGTGTGAGCTCCCCTTTCCCCCCTTTCTGTTTTAAATCTGTTTTCATGCTGTATGCAATTAAAAGTTTGATGTTCAAAAACTGATTTTCCAATTTAGGGGCAGTAAATTGTAAGTTGCTGCTATTTTCCTGAAATGACATTCTTTAGAGTCTGTTGGATTTCTTTTCAATTGCATTAGATTCTATTTACCACTTTTCTAATAGGACATCAGCATGTCTGGGAAAGACATACAATGGCTGATTCTGACTATTAAAGCTACCTATGGAAATGGTAACTCCCCAGATCTCCATCCATCCACTTGGCCCCATGGGCTCAAAGGGGAACATTTGTTAGCCAATATGTCAGACATCTTCATGTTTAACACCACTGCACTCATTAATTCTATTAGCCTGACCTTGTTAAGATCCTACCCACACTGAAACCAGATGCA